ATTATTAGCTCTCAGTGTTTTCCTAATGAATAATTCAATAATAAATGTCATAATAATCTGCCCTGATTATTAATACACCAACCGCAGCCATTATTTAGCCACTTTATTATTATTGTTATTATTATTATTATTAATATTATTATTATTATGCAGATGTTGTTATGCCAATATAAATTAATAGAACAGCTGTAATGATACTGGGCGCTGTTTGATAGCGGCTTCTGTAGTGATTAGCCTGTTAGCTCCAGTATGTCAGTCTGAGTTTGATATGAAGACTATACAATATTCTGAAGGTGTTTGTCTGAGATGTGTGTCTGGAGCGTTATCTGGCCGGAAGCAGGTCGTGACCGGGGTCAGGGCTGCAGCAGCTCCGCCGGCCGGAAGCCGAGGATTCTGGCTCCGGTTTCCTGTCAGCGGCGGCGGCTCTGGTAGGTTCAGTGTTAGCTGTGTGTGGAGGGTCTAGGGTTATGGCTGAGCTCTTGGATTGAGCAAACATACAGTGATGTAATGGTGGAAAACACTGCATCATCATCTCCAACACCACTTATACACCACTGAGCTGAGCAGGGGGTCTATAAACACTGATCATCATCATCATAGTGTGTGGAAATCTCTACATTACTCACAGTTAGGCCTGTCTTAATAATCAATACATGGACTTATCAGACAACACAGGGACATGAGCTCAGCCATTATTGGTGATGTTTCGCCTTTACAGTACTTAAACACCAATTCTAGCAACATCTGAGCTGATTGTGCAACATCTCCATCCATACTGGAGCAGTCAGAGTCGTGTGGGTAATGAACCCTGCAGTGTTCACTGTATATTACTATAGTATATCCTCATGTCTGATAACAGCACAGCCTCTGCTACTCTTCACCTGCCCTTTATCTGTTATCATTTAGTATTATTTATTTATTATATGTGTTTTCACATTGTCACTCCACTGCCTGATTATTAAACAGTTATCATAACACTATAATACATTAAATATTATGATGACTATAATTACATTAAATATTCCTCAGAATGAAATATGATGTGTTGAGTGTATCCGCATTGATCATAGTATACTGTCATTCTGTAATGAGTGGCATAAAATGCTCTTAAGTAGTCAATAATATGGTTTCTCGCACTATATTGTGGTGCAGTATATCCTACAGTTGGCGTGGGTTTCCTCCGGGTGCTCCGCTTTCCCCCACACGCCCAAACACATGCAGTACCGGGGAATTGGGTAGGCTAAATTGTCCAGTGTGTGTGTGAATGAGTGTGTTTGGATGTTACCCAGAGATGGGTTGCAGCTGGAAGGGCATCCGCTGAATGGAACATGTGCTTCATAAGTTGTTGGTTCATTCCACTGTGGCGACTCCAGATTAATAAAGGGACTAAGAAAATGAATGAATGAATGAATGAATGAAATCGAGACCTAGTCTGCTTTGGATCTTGTGGTTAGTCATGATCAGCAGCGATCTAACAACCAGAGATCAACGGTAATCACTCACATTCACACAACTACAAATCCGCCATGTCATGGACTACATATTCAGTCATGCAACACACACACACACACACACACACCTGCTCCAAGTCTCCACTGATTAGACTCTCACAGCTGATGCTGCTTTTGGATTGATTACTGCTGCACTACATAAGCAGCACACACACACACACACACACACACACACACTCACACTCACTCACTCACTCACACACACACACACACTCACTCACTCACTCACTCACACACACACACACACACACACACACAGAGACAATATTACATATTCTCCCTGTCGGCCGCCTGCCTTCTCACCATCTGCCTGTGCATCTCACTGTGACTCTGGATTGTCTGCGGTCTGTGGCCCCTGTGTTGACTATTGCTCACCTGACCTCTCCAATAAACCTGCATTGGCATGTAGTCATCGGTAGTTGATCAGTTCCCCTATAGCGCATGTGTTTGGACTGTGGGGGAAACCGGAGCACCCGGAATAAACCAACACGGGAGAACATGCAAACTCCACACAAACACCAACTGACCCAGCCGAGACTCAAACCAGAGACCTTCTTGCTGTGAGGCCACAGTGCGACACCACAGAGCATGAGACATAATCAACCACTTCAACAGCAGGAATACAGATGTTTGTGTGTGTGTGTGTGTGTGTGTGTGTTTGTGTGTGTGTGTGTGTGTGTGTGTGTGTGTGTGTGTGTGTGTGTGTGTGT